CCTCCAGGTCATCCTGACCTACGGCATGTCTGACACCGTGCTGCTGTTTTTGAAGGAGGCCTCCAAAAAGAGGGAGTTCCAGGTGAACCATTTTGGGCACAGCTGGCAGGCTTTGCTGATTGCTTGGGATTGCGCAGGGCTTGGGTGCGGGCGCACGCAGGGGACCGATGGTGTCCGGTTGCAGCTGTTGTGGCGACGGGCCGGGAGTGGGGGGTGGGGGCATGTTCAGATTCGCGCTCGCAAACGGGGCCGGGGGCAGGAGGGTGTGTTGCTGCGGAGTGGGGCAGCTGGTAGGTCCCCTCCGCTTGCGCTGTTGTGGGCGCCTGCCGATGCTTGGGGCACCAAATGGAGCGGCGCAGCCACCTTTCCCTACCTGCACACACACGCACGCTCACGTACAAAACAGGCACGCGAGCGCACACACGCACACGCACTCCCCGCACGCCCCGACGTCACCCACACGCCGCACCTGTGCCCACCTGGCACCCCAAACCTGCTCAGGTGGTCGTGGCCGAGGCGGCCCCGCGCTACGACGGCCATAAGATGGCGCGCAAGCTGGCGGACGCAGGCGTGCAGACCACCCTCATAGCGGACTCTGCCGTGTTCGCTTTGATGGCCCGCGCCAACAAGGCGAGCTGGGCCGCATGGACGGGGCCCTGGGGGGGGGGCAAGGCCGCGGGGCAGGGGGTGCCGCATATGGGGCCGGCCTCACGCTTGCGGCGGAGGGGGTCAGAGCTTGTGGAGCCGGGGGTTCTTGGTCCAGCAGCACTCGCGGGGCCGGCCGCCGGTCGCGTGCGCGCCCCGGCTGTCCCAGCCACCGCCCCTCTCACACCATCACCAACACACACACACACACACACACACACACACACACACAAACCAACACTGAAAAAAAACTCACGTCCCCGCAGGTGCTGGTGGGCGCGCACGCCGTGCTCGCCAACGGCGGCGTGGTCGCGCCCTCCGGCAGCCACGTCGTCGCGCTGGCGGCGCGGCGCCACTCTGTGCCGCTGGTCGTGCTGGTGGGCCTGCACAAGCTGAGCCCCCTGTTCCCCCACGACCCAGACGTCACCTTCAACGGTGGGGCCCCGGCGTATGGATTTATACGCGCATTCATGCGTTCCGCCCCTTTCCCTGGCGGCGAGGGGACTGTTGTGGTGGATGGCTGGCCTGCGTTTGAGGGGGGCGCGCCGTTTGAATGGCCGAGGCGAGCGGAAGCTGCGCCACAGGGAAGCGCCGAGTCGTGAGGGGTCGGGACGAGGGGGCGCATGGCCCCTGGCAGGCGCGCACCTTTGCATGGAGGCGGCCGCCCGGCAGTGCGTGGCGGCAGGCCAGCCAGACGCGCCCCGTCAGCGCGCGTCCCTCTCAGCCGCTCAAAGGCAATCACATGACCCCGACATCATGGCCGTTTCTCAACCTGCAAATCACACACACACACACACACACACACACTCACACACACTCACACATACACACACACACAATCACGCGATCACGAACTACACACACAATAACACACACACACACACAAATTCCACACAATCACAGTCACACACATTTGATATCCCTCTCACAGAGTTCAAGTCCCCGGCCGAGGTGGCGGATTTCGATGTCCTCGCGGAGGCCTTTGTCCGCCGCGACGAGGGCGCGGAGCCGGTCAATGTTGAGGTGTCAAACCCCTGCTTCGACTACGTGCCCCCGCACCTGGTCAGCCTCTTCGTCACCGACACCGGGGGTTACACGCCGTCGTACGTGTACCGCCTGCTGGCGGAGTACTACAGCAGGTGGGGGGGGGCTGATGTGCGGCGGATGTGGCCCCGGCGCGGCGCGGTCTTCTCGTCCCGCCTCTCTGCCGCAAGGGCTGCCGCCCGCCTGCAGGCCCGCTAGCCCCTGACCCCTGTTAGCCCCACTGAACCCATCCCCACCCTCCCACTCCCAACGTCGACACCCCAGCTCCTGCCCCCACCCTCTACCACGCAAATCTCCACCCCTGCCTCCACCAGTCCAGCCCCCGCCACCTCAACCACTGCAAGCCCACCCCTCCGACTGCCGTTCCAACCACCACGACCCCAGGGAGGACTACCTCCTGAGTGCAGAGCTCCTGAACCTCATCAACAAGTAGCAGCGCACAGCCGCAGCTCTCACACCACCCAGCAAAGCCACCCTGCCTGGGGAGCAGTGCGTTGGCCGCGCCCGGCTGTGAGGCGCCGGCGGACGCGATCAACATGGCCAGGGGTGACCAGCTGACTACTGATTGCCCTGCGTGCAGCCCACAAGACTTGCGCATCCATCTGACAAACGCCCATGAGCTCCTGCCCGGGTTGGTCCCAGACTCCCCAGGGAGGGGGGGGTCTCGTCATATGGGGTGGTGCGAACGGAGGCGGTCTGGTGATTTCAGCGGCACGCACAGCAGCTGGTTGACCTCCTCGCAGCATGCAGGCCATGGTTCGGGCAATCGCAGCCGAGCCAAGTTGTGGCCGTGTAATCCGCATTTGGTGATTATGTGATCAGCACGCGGCCTGTCGGCATCGATTCCAATGCGCGCGTCCCCTGTGCCTTGGTGCGACCCTTCAAACGTCCACCAGGAGCATCAGATTGCCACTCCAGGGCTGGCTTGGGGCCGGTCCCGACCTAAGCCTGATTTTGGGGCGGCAACGATGACATGCAGGGCTAGCATGTGCCTTGTCAGCCCCGCCTGCAGAGGTCAGACCAAAATCAAAGCTATAAGGAGGCCCCCGCAACTGGGTTTTATTGGGGGTTTCAGGGAGGCCAGGACATGACAAGGCACGTCAGCGTGCCTTTGGGATGGGAGGCGGGTGTGAGTGCACAGACACAAATCTGGGGCATGCTTGGCGGTCTGGGCGAAGATTGGGGCTTGAATTGTGCATGTAACACAGTGGATGAGATGCTTGTGCTTTGCCTTAGCAGCAGCGGCGCCATGTGTACGATAGACAGATGGTGCGGCAGTTGGTTTTGGGTCGGTTGCCCTTGCCTACAAGGATACCCGTCATGCATACTTCCCCTGACCTGCCGCATCATTTGTGTCCACTAATTATCAATTGCCTTGGTGTGTTTGTTTAGGGCAGTTCGCGTTATCAACACAGTCCCGACAACAATCCGGCAACAAACGGAATCGATCTGGTGCCGCCATCTGGCTGCACACCCCTAGTGATTTGCATATAAATTTTATATAAGGGTACCCCCCACTCTGTGTGGCGCCGCCAAGGTGCGCTGCACCCAAAGGACGGCGCCGCACGCCACGTGTTTTTGATACATTAGGACGTGGCACTATCGCAGGTCGGACACTGCCCCACGATGTGGATCCCCGGCACAGCTCCTGATCGCTCCACGCAAACCGGCTGTCCCTTGGACTGTCGGACACTGTCTCGCCAGATCTCTCGTCGCACGCGCACTCTGACGTCATCGCCTCTCAGATATCACGCATGGTCCCCGTCCACCCCACGACACCCCACCCAAAACAGCGCGACAGTCAAAGACAAGCTGTGCACAACAAACTACCTGCACGGGAGCCCAGGCTATGGCAAGCTTGGCGCGTCAGTGGACGGCGCGGCCGGCGCCGGCCAAACAAGCGGCAAGCCGCCGAGCGTCATTCACACCCCGCCCAGTTCTTGGCACGCCTCCCAGGCGGCCCCTGGGCCCCGCCTCCGCGGCCCAGCCCCACACGCTGCAGCCGCCGTCCCCGCCGGCGGCCGGCGCGGCGGGCGCTTGGCAGCGCATGCCCGCTGAGCTCCCCAATTCCAACGGGGCGCCCCATAAGACTTTCGATTTCAACAGACAGTGGTGCGTTGCTCCCACACAGACTCTCTGGGGACCTGCTGCCTGCACCCCTCTGCCCAACGACAGGTGGCCAGCCGGCCTGGGGGTTTTTAGCCCAATTTAGCCCAATGTGCCGCGCTCAATCTCTGGCCCGTTGCCCGTGCAGCATCGGGCTGTTTGCATGCCCTCTAAATCCGCACCTGCGCCGGCTCCCTCCGCAGGTGGCCCGTCGCGCCCCTGGACTCATACGGTGGGCCCGCGCTGCGCCGCCATGGTTGAATTCCCCCCTCCGGCGCCACCTGGCGCGTTGCAAGACCAGCAATCCTCAGTCCGCATGTTGGCCCCAGCCAGCCACTGCTTGGCCCGGCCATGTGTCCACAACACATGTCTACACCCCAGACACGACTTGTCAGCGTCGGCCTTCACTCCCCCCTCCACACCACAGTCATGACCCTTACCCCCCTCTGCACACACACACACACACACACGAGCATTATCAACCACCGGTGCGTTCGTATACGCTCCCCGCTCGCAACATCAGACCCCGCGCGCCCCCACGCCCTGGAGCTCGTCGGCAAGCGCCTCGTGCTGTGGCGCGACGCTGGCGCCGGCGCGTGGCGCTGCATGGATGACGCCTGCCCACACAGGTGGGCCGCCGTGGAAACTCAGGGTGTGCTGCGCACAACACACACCTGCTCTGTCTGCAGGCGGTTCAGGTGCATCTGCAGGCGCTCTTGCGTGAGGGCTGGCAGCAAGCCGGCGGGTGCTCCGCCGGCGCAAATACGAGGGCTTGCCCTGAAATTGTGTGAAATTCGAGCGGTGTGCAAGCAGACCTGTGTGCTGTTGCCCCACTGCTCGAAAGCCGTGCGTCGCCGCAGCCTCCCCGCCCGCCGCCGCCTCGCCCCCATACCGTGCCCCTCTCCCCCCCCCCTCCGCCCTCGGTCCGCCCTCGGTCCCGCAGGCTGGCACCCCTGTCGGAGGGCCTCCTAGCCCCTGGGGGCGTGGCAATCGAGTGTGCTTACCACGTGGGATGGGAGGGCCCCTCATGGCCAAACGAAACTATTGCGGCCGCTGCAACACGCACCACGGCCGCACAATGCTGGTATGCTTGCTTGCCTCACCTGCCCCGCGGCAGTGCATATTGCCGGGCACGCACACGAAGGCCTGTGACTCACGCACCTGCTTCCTTGCGCCGTTTCTTTCCACACGCGACGCGGCCCTTTCGCAGGGCTGGCGCTTCGGCGGCGACGGCCGGTGCACGCGCATCCCCCAGGCTATCAGCGGCAAGGCCGAGGCCGCGGCCTGCGCCAGCCGGCGCTCGTGCGCGGCCGGCTACCCCGTGAGAGAGGCGGGGGGCCTCATTTGGGTGTGGCCGACGGCGGGCGATGACGAGGCCGCAGGTGTGGGGCTGTGCTTGGGTTGGTACATGCCCAGCTGGCGATCAAAAACAGACCCTGTCAGAACGGCATTTAACCCCCCACCTCACGCTGGCTTGACGCGTCCTTGTATGGCCCTTGATGACCTCGTTGCGACGCTTGCCGGCTGCGCCAGCATCCGCATTGCTTCACACCGCTGCGTGCGTGCGCTCTCCGGCCCGCAGCTGCCGCGCAGCTGCCGATGCCGCGGGTCCTCCAGGAGCACGTGGCCGCCGGGGGCAAGTTGCTCTGGTACCGAAGGGTGCTGCCCTACAGGTGATCACTTCTGCTGCTTCATGTGAACTTTCTTTTGGACCGGGCTGTTGCTCAGTTCTTATCGAGGCTGTGCTGTCAACGCAGCGCGGCGAGACCGATGCGTGGATCCGTGGCAGGAAGTGCGCCCCGCTGCCTGCACCAGGAGCCGTGCCCCAGCCCGCGGACCTGGCTCGGCGCGTCCGTCTGCCGCCGGCTGCGAAGTCTTCAGCGCCGCCGCCGTCTCCCTGACACATGCAAACCATTCTGGACCCCGCCGCGCCTCGAATCGCCCAGCTGGGACGTCGGCGTGGAGAACCTGGCAGGTGAGTCATCAACGCGCCACCCCTACCGACGCGCGCACTCATCAGTCCCCACGGCCGCCAACGCATCGCAGCCGCCGCCCCGCCGCCGGCGCCGCGTGCGGTCACCACAACTCGCTGCAGCGCCCGCCGCTTTCCGGCATCCCCCCGGCTTGGCTCGGCCCATCTCTGGCGGCTCCTGCTCACCGACAACCCCAGATGACAACTGATCACAGCCCATCACCACGCCTCAACTGGCTGATTTGAAACCACAGACCCAGCCCACCTGCCGCACTCACACCACGGGGTCCTACCACTGCTGCGCCGCGAGAACGCCGTCCGCATGCCCTTCAAGCCCGTCAGCCCCGCGCCCCTACAGCCCCACGCCGGCGGCGACGGCGGCAACGGCCACGAGAGCAGATGCCCGCCGACCGGCGCGCCTGGCGCGGCGCCGCAAGCCTCAGCGGCCGCCGAGGCGCCGTCGAGGAGGCCGCTGTGCCTGGTGCCGGGGCGGGAGCCCGTGGGGCTGTTCGAATTCCCGTCTGTCCAGGCGGGGCGGGGCTTCTGCGCGTACACGCCGCCCTGCACCATTTCTTATGACTACGACGCGCCAGCTGGCGGGTCCATGGTCCAGCAGGTGCGTGCGCCGACGCGCCACCCCGGCCGTGGACGCGTGAGTGAACGGCGGAGCGTCTGGGGCAGGGGTGTGGGGTGCCAGATGCGGGTTTCAAAAGGGCGCGAGGCCGGCCAGCCTCGGCCCGATGTGTGAGCTTTGCTAGCACCTGCGGGGCTGCCAGATGTTTTGAGCTGGCGGTCCGCTGCCTGCGACGTCGCACCTCCCGGTTGTGTGATGTCCATCGATCTCCCGCTGAGAGCGGCCCTTCTGCCCCTTCCCCAGATCTTCATATCCCCCGCCGGCCCCGGGCGCTCGATCGTCTTGACCGGAACCCTGGACGTGCGGGCCGACGGCAAAACGGACGCGAACGCGCCCCGGGCGTCGGGCCCGCGCTCGCCGCTGGCTGCGCTCGTGTCTGCCCTGGGTCGCCTGATGAGCAGGTGTCCTCGCGCGCGCAACTATCGGCCGCCAGGCGGCGTCGTGGCGGCGTTCGTCGTGGCCGCTTGCCAGGGTTATGTGGGCGTCGCGTTGAGCGGGCTGCTGCCACCATCTATTGGTCAGAGGACGTGCCATGTGTGATGACCTGGGGAGGCGCCAGAGGTTTGGCTGGAGGTCTGGGCCAGGGCCGAGAGCTCCTAGTTGTCTTGTGGCACAGTTGACCCCTACGTGCGTGATTTTTCGCTTACTGCTGACCCCATCTCCCACATCGCTTCCTTGACTGCAGCTTGTGGCCGCCGCCGGCCGCCTGGCGGTCATGCCTCTCCTACAATCTGGTGAGCTTGGCCCGTCCAGCTCACCACCCCGTCCAGCTCAGCATGCCGCCTTGACTTATCAGCAAGACATAGCACGAGCTGAATGCTGACCCCTGCATCCGCAGAGCTCCGGCCCTCGGCATGACTGCAGCTGGCACATAGGGTTGGGAACGCTGTGTGTGCAGGTGTGTGTGTGTGTGCGGCTCCCTTTGGTGTGGGTGTGTGTACGGGTTGAGCATCCCGAGGTAGGCTGATTCTTTCAGATCACGCGCTGGTTCCAACACATGCGTGCGTCCGCCGCGCCACCCTGCGCAGGTGTTTGACCAGGACAACGCCTTCCTCCATGCCCAGGTGCGCGCCCCACGAACGCCCCAGATGCGCAGCAACCCTTACTGGCCGCTTCCCGCTCCGGCTGAATGCAGCCACACGCCCTCCGGGTGGCGGTGACGATGCTCAACGCCTCGTACTCGCCGCTGGAAACGCCGCCGCCAGCAGGAACCGAGGAAGCCATGCACCATTCGCACAGCGGCGACACCCGCCGTCCTCCAAGCCCTACGAAAATCCATCGGCGCCCGGCATCGTCCGCACATGTCACTCCCCCTTCAATCGCCCAACCCACCCACCCACCACCACACCTGCCCCGGCCGCCCTACACCGTAGGACGTGTTGCTCAAGGCTCGGGGCCCCGGCGCTTGGCGGTCCTACTACACACCACTACAGAGCGACCGGCTCATCTCTGCAGGTGGGCGGCCTGAGATCCGGGCACGTGTCGTGCAGCCGTGGTGCCGGCGTGCAGCTCTCTACGTGCAGCGACCTGCTGCGAGTGTCTGATTGCAAATCGCAGCCAAAGCAACCACTGAGGATACAAATCCCTCGGCCCGCCAGCTAATCCTGTAGAAAACAAGTGCCTCCCCACCTTCAACGGCCGCCCCGCAGCGCGCCGCTGGATCGAGGAGCAGGCCGGCGGTGGCCCAGATTTCGGTGGCGCGCCCCTCGCGCCGCCGGCGCCGCTCCCCAAGCGAGTCGTGAACGACCGCTGGTCTCAGCACACCGCCGAGTGCAGCCACTGCGCTGCCGCCGCGGCCCGCCTGACCCGCGGCGTCGGCCTGGCCAAGGTCGCCGCCGCCGCGCTGTTCGCCGCCTTCTGCGGGCTGCTCGGCACGTTCGGCGCCCCCGGGCTGCTGGCGCGGGCGGCGGGGCCGGGGCTCGTGGCCGCGGCCGCGGCGGCCGGCGCGTGCAGCGCGGCGTGGTGGGCGCGGAGGGCCGAGGCGCTGCTGCGTGAGTTTCAGTACGTTGAATTTTCTCATGCTCAGAACCCCTGATGTAGATCAGACGGTCAACCCCTGCACATCGACGCTGTGTCCCTCCAAGCCACTTGTAGCGCCCTCTGGCTGCTGGCACGCCGCACCCTCACACATGTCTGATAGATCCATCCACCAGGTTGTGTTGTTGTGTGCACCCTGATGCTTACCCTCCTGCCTGTGTCCGTGCTCACCCTTCTGCCTGCTGCCTGTGTGCCAACATGCGCGTGTGTACAAAATATAATCCTGTTTCATGATCCCGATGCATGCTAGATGCCACACGAGATACTCTTGCAATAGACACTTGCACTGGACACCTTTTGCAACACACAGCCAGGCAACAACCCTGTTTGCGCCATGCACCCTGCACTTTGCTGTCACGTGTTTGCCTGCCACATTCTCAACATTTCAGAGCCATCTTGATCATTGTTTTCTCACTTGGAGGGCTTTACAACCTTGTGCAGCAATGCAAAGCAACTTTCCTCGGCCACTGGCCCTTGAAGTGTTTACACCAATGTGTCTTGTACACAGGAAGCAAAGCAACTCGTGACATGTCTTGAAAGCAGCGGCTCCTGTGCAGGCAGTATGCCGGCCCATAAGCGTGTGCATTGCGCTGCAGCCTGCGCCGCACCGAATTGGTAACTTGCTCACAGACGCGGCTGGCTTGCTAGCTGAACAGCTGGCAACAGCAAGAAACGGGTGGTGAAAGCAGGCGCAAAAAGAACCGAGTGGCAGGCAGACACAATGCACGCACGAACGTCAGCACCCAAAGCAGAGGCACAGGGCATGGGCATGAGCGCGATCGTCACCCTCAACTTGTCCCCGGTCGCGCGGCGCCCCCCGGCTGCTTCGCGTCCAGCCCTACGTTCGCCAGCCCCAGCAGCAGCGCGCCCCTCTGCCGCTCAAGCACCTCCTCGGTCTGCCGCTGCCGCGCCTCCGCGCCGCGCAGCCGCGCCTCCAGGGCCGCCAGCTTTGCGTCTTTGCGCTGCAGCACGGACTGCAGGCGGCCGTGCACCTAGGGTTGTGCAGGGGTTGTGGCGGCAGGGATTGTGGACAGCTGTGCAACTGGAGCAACCAAACCGCCCAGAGCCACGCACACACCATTTGCTGTGCAGCTCAAGCGCTCGTCGTCGGGCTCAAGCCAGGCGCATTAGATGGGATGCAGCAAAAGGCGGCGATTGTCCTTGTCAAGAGGGGAGAAGGGCAGCAGAAGACACGCATGACTGCAGTGATGTGTTCTCGAACCTCTTGCCTCACCTGCTCGAGTTCCGCCGCGTGCTGCGCCTTGACCGCACGCAATGCTGCCTCATGCTCCTGCTGCTGCAGCGCCGCCGCCGCGCGCCACTCCTCGCCCCGCCTCTGCGCCTCCTCTGCCGCCCGCGCCTCCCGATCCGCCGCAGCACCCAGCTCAGCACGCAGCTTCTCGCCAGCTTCCTTCAGGCGTGCTGAGTCGGCTTTGCAAGCCTCTACGTGGCCCTCTAGCTTCTGCACGTCGGCATCCTTTGCTGCCAGCTCCTGCAGTAGAGATTGGACCTGGTCTTCCCTGTTTGAGTCAGAAATTAATTCGAGTGGGGACGACGGTCAAGTCGAGCTACTGTGAATGCCATAAGTGCAAGTGTCACCGGCTGAGCCCTAACCCCCGAATTGCAGTAAATGCCCCAGGGGCGGGCAGCATCAGCTAAGCTGCTCTGCGAGCCCGAGCCTTGACGACCGCCATCAGGGCTTCTGCATGCGGCTGATCAGGCGCACTCACAGGCGCTGTGCCTCGCCGCGTGCCGCTGCCACTGCCTCGTTGGCGACCGCCTGTATGGCTTCCACCTCGCCTTGGCTCCACTCCTCCACCTGCTTCACAAACTCGAGGCGCGACGCGTCCAGGTGGCGCAGGGCGTCCTCCTGTGTGGATCAAGGCAGGCCGCGCACGCGTTGGGATGAAGCCGCTGGCGGAGCACAAGGGAGTCGGCACCCGCAAATCAGGAACAGCAAAGACCCTCCATGCAGCTGCATATGGGGCCCCACTTTTTCAAAGCTACGGTTGGCCAGCTCACCCGCGCCTCGCGCTCGGCTTCGACCCGCGCCTCCCACTCCGCCGCCTCTCGCGACCTTTGGTTCTCCCACTCCGCCGCGCGCGCCTCTGCTGCGCGCGCGCCCGCGTCCGCCGCCGCCTGCAGCTTCTCGACCTGCAGCTGCAGCGCGCGCCGCTCCTTCTCCGCGTGGCCCCGCATCTTCGCCGAGCGGTCCAGGGCCTCCTTTAGCCGCGCCGACAGGGCGGCGTTGGCCCGGCGCTCGTCATCCAGCCGCGCCTCGTACCCCTGGCACAGCTCTGCGACCGCGGCGGCCCGGGCCTGCGGGTCGGGGAGGCAGCTGCGACTGTCAGCTGGGCGCGCGGCGCCCACGCGCCGGGCTGCATGCGTGCCGCTGCTGCCGCCGCTCCAGCTGCCATGCACCACGCCGCAATGGAGCGGCGCGCGCGGCAGCTGCCCGGAAAGCAGCGGCGACGCAAACATCCAGCAGGCGGCAGGGCCTCGACACCACAGCCGCCAGCACCCCACGGCGCTGCAAGCGTGCTCCGTGCCCCCTTACGTATGCGGGTCGGACGCCTGCATTGCAGCAGCTGGGCAACCCTCACCTCGCGCTCTGAGACCTTGGCCTGGTGGACCTCTCTCTGCTCCGCCTTGATGTCGCGCACTTGCTGCTTCAGCTGGTCGTACGCCGACCGCGCCTTGGCGGCGGAGCCCGCTGCGGCGCGTGCGTGGGATGGAGGGGGTGGAGCGTCACGGCGGGGCGCGTGGGTCAACCTGCGCATTTGACTGCGAGTTTTCAAGCATGCTGGGCAGCAGGGCGCCGTCCAAGCCAGTGTGCGTGTCGGCGGCGGCAAGCACTCTGCGACCCGTTCGCATGCTGCAGCGCCGCGCCGCTTGCATTGCAGCTGGCTGGCATGCAAGTCCCCACCAGTCTGTTTGTTTCAAGTACCCGCCTTGTTGCTTCATTGGGCTTCCATGGTCCGCTGCTCTTTCAGCCATAAGGCAGTCAAGCAGCACGAGCTGCAGGTCAACAAGCGATCTGGGGTGTTGTGATCCGACCTAGGGCCAACCGATGATTGTCATCAAGTTTATCAACAAACTTGATAGCATTGAACACCAGTCACGCGCATGGGGACCCTTGCGCTTGGGCAAACCGTGGCCGCAGCTGCATTACCACCCGCTGGTGTTCACAACGCACGGGTGCACATGCTCGTGGCGTGCACCTAGCTGTCGACACATATCGTCCAAGCTATCAAGTTGTCAAGTATTTCGCACTGCGTTGCATTCACTGCCAGCATTGCACACACCACACATTCATCAATGGCACACTGCTTGCAGCGCAGCCTGCGCCTTACACGCAGCAGTGGAAATGTATTAAGCCGAAGTGCCTCATTGGCGCGCCCTAGGGCTGTGTCTGTGCAGGCAGCGGCCAAGGAGGACGTGCTTCTTCGAAGGTGCGGCCCATTCAATGCGAACAGCTCTTAGGTGATTGTACACAGTATTCGAATTGCATGCGTGCATGGCGGCGGGGTCACTGCATGCCCGACCGCCCGTGGCGCCACAAAAGCAGTGGGTGTGTGGCGCGAGGCACACCTGATGTTCCGAAGCGCGCCCACAGCCGTCGCACCCAGCCCGCCCTTGTCCCTCTTGTCGGCTCCGCCACAGCCTCTCTCAACTGGGCGAGGTCGCCGTGCTGGCCGTCGACGGCACCAACCTGGTCGCCGACGCCAAGCGCCGCCACAGCACGGCGCCCACCGCGACCGCGGCGCTCGGCCGCACCCTCATGGGTGCGCTGCTGATGGCCAGCTTCCGCAAGGACGACGAGGCAGTACAGGTCAGCTTCAAGGGCGATGGCGTGCTGGGCGGCGTGTTTGCGATCGCAGACACCAGGGGGCACGTGAAGGGCAAGGTCGGCAACAGCAACGCGGACCCGCCGCTGCGGCCTGACGGCAAGCTGGCGGTCGGCGATGCAGTGGGGGAAGGTGAGGGGGCAGTCCTTGGGGACTCCGAAATCCTCAAGAGCGAGGGCATCCTGGGGACTTTGAAACTTCTGAGAGCGAGGGCATATGTTGTGGCGTTGCTGCATGCTGCCGTCATCGACGCATCGTTGAGTAGAAATATCATGTCGCGCGGCAGTCTGACCGGTGAACCCCCACCAACTGTTGCGCCTGCGCCTGCTGCAGGCGTGCTGTCTGTGGTCAGATCTCACCCGCTGCAGCCTCAGCCGTACACCGGGATGGTCAAGATCGTCTCGGGGGAGATTGCGGAGGACCTCGCCACTTACATGGTGCGCTGCACGCCATCAGGGCGACGCACGGCCGGTGCCCAGCAGCAAACGGCAGTGGTGAAAAGGGAAAATATCACGTGTGCATGGATTTGGGCTACGATTCTCCGTCGGAATCCGACGCAGGCAACAACCCAGCATTGGAAGCTTCGCAGCAGCTGTCTTGCGGCCACGTGAGCATCGGGCGTGGCCAGGCGCCCGCCTTCGGCCGCGGTTGGCTGGAGCTCGGCCACAGGTCGGGCTGCGCGAGCGCTAGCAGCGCCTCAACGCCTGCTCGCCGGCCTTCTGACGCGCGCCTCTCGCAGGCCGAGAGCGAACAGACAAACAGTGCGCTGGCGCTGGGCGTCGCCATCAACCGGGACTGCAGCGTCAACGCGGCGGGCGGCTATCTAGTGCAGGTGCCGTCGCTGCGGAGCTTGCCGGAGCTGCGATGCAAAGCTTGCAGGGGGCGCGCATGCGCACCGGGGCGTAGCGGCTGCTCAGGTTCTGCCTGGCTAGCATGCGGCATGCGCGCAGGGGCTCGATCATGGAAAGGCCAGGCAGATGCTCTGCCGCCGGCGGTCGTTGCCGCTGCCAACGCCCGCCTCACCCTGCCTCGCCTCTTGGCTTGCCGCACGCACGTCCAGGTGCTGCCGTTTTGCTCAGAGGAGACGCTGGAGCAGCTCGAGAAGAACCTGTCGAGCCTGCCCAGCGTGACCAAGCTGCTGCAGAGCGGGGCCACGCCGCAGGACATCACGGACCGGATTCTGGACGGCATCGGCACGGCGGGGGCGCCTCTGGCCATCACGCCCAAGTGGGTGGCGCGGTTTTTAGGGGAGACAACCTCGCCCTGTTGTGGCATGGGCGCAGGAGCTTGTTTGGTTGCGCGATGCGGTTGAGAAGGCAGGGGATCTTGCGCACCCACCCGCGGCGAAGTGGTGCACGGCGCCCACCGCTCATGCCATGACGCCTGCTGCATGTTGGCAAAGGCAAGCTTCCTCCATCCCATTCAAATTTTTGGGCGTTGGAGGGGAAGCCCGGGCCTTCTCTTCTCAGTTGGGTGCTGTCGCTTTGGCTTCTGCCGACGCCCACACGCACGCCCTCGCCCCCGCTCCTTAAAGGTACGGCCCCTGTGAGGCGGACGCCCTCAAGGACCGGATGAAGCGGGCGGTGGCGTCGCTGGGGCCCAAAGAGGTGCGCTCCATCATTGAGGAGCAGGGCAAGATCGAGGTGAGCCCCGCGACGCCCCTAGGGGTGCTATCGGCCAGGCGGGGAGGGGGGGCGGCATTGGGCAGGCGCAGGCAGACGGTCAGGCCGGGTCACGTGCTTCAGCGACTGGGGCGTGCCTGCCAAGAGACGCGGCTGCCTGGGCCTCTTGCGCTGCTGACTGTTGAGCATATGGTTTGAAGGGTCGCTGTACAGATGAACGTGGGATGCCATGATGCAGCACACACCGCACCTTGACTGTACTTGGGGCACCCACAATCCCCGTCAGGTGCGCTGCGAGCTCTGCAATGAGGCCTACCACTTTACGGAGGAGGAGGTCTTGGACTATGTGTAACCCGGCCACACGTCCGCTTGAGAGCTCGCATTCTTCGGCGCCGAAGCATTTAGGCAGGGGCACAGACGCACAGTACTGATAGCATCGCACAAAAATCAGGCAGTGCAAGGAGTCACTTGCTCCGTGCCAGCCACAAAGATCATCAAGCACTAGATTTTCCAGGACACCAACACACATCACAAACGCAAGTCTTCGTTTCATATGTCGACATACACTACCGTACTCTCCTGATCACAATGCCAGGTCAAGCATTTGAAAGTTGACCCGTTGGGCTCTGTGGCGTATGGATTTCTGCAGCCCGAGAGGAGTATAAAAGACACAAAGACGCGTACAGAGTCAAGATTGGGTGCGGGGCGTCCTGTCTGGAGGGCAGATCGCTCTCAAAGGCTGCTGCGAGTGTCGTCGAAAGGTGATATACCAATGCGCATGATATGATTCTGCTTGATAGCGAGATCCTGGCACTTACAGCCACCACTATGCAGCAGGTCGACTGGTGGCAGCTTTGTCGACCTCACCGTCAGCCCCTCCCTGGGCAGCAGGGAGGGGCTGAATGTCGACAGAGAAGGACAACATAGTGCCTACAATGCTGGTGAGTGACGATCGAAGTGGCGGCGGACCAGGTGACTGGAGCGGTACCGCCACGCTGCAGCGTGACCCACCACCTAGCGTCGTATCTATCTCCCCCTTACAACCTGCGCCAGGCACTCCCTCCCCTGGGCCGAGCCAGTCGGGCACGCCCCGAAACCGTAGCCGCCTGCAGCTGCAGGCAAAGGCTGGCTCATCGGGCACGCCACCACCGCTCAGCGTGCGCACAACACCGCGGCATGGGTTGCATCCAAACGGCGAGGCGACACCGCCGGCTGCGCCCTCGCCCCTGCCGGAGGTCAAAGAGACCCCAAAAATGGTGGTCGACCGGCTCAAGGTGCGAAGCAGGCGCACGGTAGCTGTCTGACCCTGCAAGCCCATAGCAACCAATGATGCACTCAATCCGCCATTGCGCCTTATACCGCGCCTCACCTCCCATCCCCTATCGTATTGTTGAACCCCAACACATGCCTCGGTAAAATGATGTACCACAATGCACCCTCAGGGCCACGTTTTTGTGAACCAGTACCTGCTGATACGCGACCTGGGGCGCGGCGCGCACGGCGCAGTCAAGCTGGTTTACAGCACGGAAGATGACACTGTCTATGCCATGAAAGTGCGCAGCGCTTGATGCGGGCGCTGCTGTCGCATGCACCTGCATGCATGCGCTCAACCGCGTCTGCATGCATGCGCATGCAATCGGGCACTGCAGGCGTGTGCACGCGGCCCCTTTGCTGCGTGCACGGCCTGGGTGCAACGAATTGCTGTGCGGCCGCATGTTTGCATGCAGCCCCTGGTGCTGCATGAAAGCGAGTCCAGTACAAAGCCCTGCTGTTGGCCCGGCGGCTTGGTGTGCGCACGTGCTGCGCCACTCCCGGCCCCTGGGGCAAGGGTGGTTAACATGAGCTCCGCGGCTGCCGCTGCCTGCTCGCAGGTCGTCCACCGGCGGCGGGGCCTGCACCCAGGCCGCAACCGCACCATGAGCATGAGCCTCGACTTGCCCGGGCTGTCCGGCGCGTGGGCGCCGCTGGCGGCGGCCAGCGGCGGGTCCGGCCCGGTGGCGGCGCTGGCGGCGGGCCAGAGCTTCAGCAGCAATTGGGCGGCCGCAGCGGCGGGAGCCGCGCTGCCGCGCGCCGGCTCGGGCGGGAGCTCCAGCTTCGCTTCGCCTTCCGTCACGCCCCGCGCGCTGAGCGCCGCGCCGAGCCGCGCGGCGCCGTCGCTGCTGTCCGGCACAGCGGCCGCGAGCCGGGCCGCGTCGCTGGTGGCGGCGCAGGTGCCGGCCCCGCTTGCTAGTGGGCCGAGCCGGCGGGGCCTGGGCGGTTCTCAGCTGCACGCGCAGCCCCAGGCGCAGACGCAGGGCGCTACGCCAGAGGCCACAAGCACCGCTCCGACTTGTGACGCATCGGCTGTGTCCACAGGTCTTGCAGCGGACGCACCAGCAGCAGCAGCAGCAGCAGCAGCAGCAGCAGCAGCAGCAGCAGCAGCAGGTGAATCAAAGTCAATGGCAAAGCAGACAACATGCGAAGAATTGCAAAGTAGTGCAACAGAGACCCAGCAAGCACAGCAGCAGCCGCCATCACCCCAACACTCGCCTCTTACGCAACAGCAAGTCTGGGTCAAGATTTCGCAGGGCCGCGGCGAGCAGCAGCAGCCGCTGCCGCAACAGCAACAGCAGCAGCAGCACCACCACCACCCGCCGCCGCTGCAGCAACATCAACAAGTGCCACTGCAGCAGCCGCAGCAGCAGCAGCAACCGCCGTCGCACCAGCCGCAGCAGCCAGCCCCCCTTCCAACAATGCTGTCTTCGCTGCCCGACCCTGCGCTCACCGATCTGGTGCGGGAGATGGCGGTGATGAAGCGCCTCAACCACCCCAACGTGGTCAAACTACGCGAGGTCGTGTTTGACCCACTGGACCCGAAGCTGATTATAATGGTGATGGAGTACCTGCCAGGGGGGACGCTGCTGGCGCCAGCGACAGGGCTCGTGGCCGCAGGGGCCGGCGGGGCCGGCGGGGCCGGCTTTGGCGGTGGCGGGGACGCGGCCGGGGGTGTGCGTGGCCGGGTGGTGACTGAGCCGCTGCCCGAAGCGCTGGCCAGGAGTTACTTCAGGTGAGCGGGGCTGCGGCTTGGGGCACATGGGATTGAGCATAAGTAAGCCAGCAAGAGGCGGCGGCGCAAACCCCTGTGCTCACATGCAGAGCCGGTGTTTGCACGGGGTGACCATGTGCATGAGGTCGCTGATCGCGGCTGTGACAGTTCTGATCCCCACGCCGGCCCCCTCCAGTGTCCCTTGCCTTGCGGCCTGCCCTGCCCCGCCGCCGCGCCTGATGCCAACCC